ACTTGTTGTTTGTGCCTGACACTCTCTTGCTTCTTAATGGTTTTGTTATATAGGAGGACCTTTTGGAGTTGCAAGACGAGAAGCTTGCTTCAACCATGAGAGAACAGCAACATCGGGCACTTGAGTTTTGGGAGAAAAATTGGGTATAGACAATCTTGTTCAGTCACTTTCCTCCAAATTCCTGTTCGTTTTTTACTTTCTTTATTTGTTTAGCATTCTGCAGTACCCCTCAAAATAAAGTGTCTTACTCGGGATCCTGAGAGATTTATTTGGGCAATAAGTATAGCACAATCTCAATGCATGTGTTTGCAATAAATTTTATGCAGAAAAATAAAACTGTAGTCACAAACAACTATAAAGAAAAAAAGTATTTTATTGATAAACATTGCAGGTTACAACTTTGTTTATCCTTGATTTTTTCCTCTGATTTGTTATCTGTAATTCGAGGGTCTTAACGGCGTATTTCTCAAACATAGGATGATATGTATCTTCTTGATGTATTTGATGATCAAAAGCATGTAACAACACTCCATTTGGATCTTGAATGTTGCTAAAACTTTGAACAAAGCAAGACATATTTGACATGATCGTATATTTGATCTCTTTGTACATATTTCAAGAGTTTATGAAATTGCTGAGATGATCTCCCTTTTCGAGATATTCTTTAAGGGAATATGTAATCATTTTTATAGGAGCGACCTAGGGTTGAGGTAGAGTAGTCTCCAAGCTAGGGATTTGATGGAGTAGCCTCCAAGCAATCCTAATAGACTCCTAGAATATCAAAAGTCGTCTTGTAGTATCTTGAATTTAGAATTTAGACGGATCCGTTAAAATTTTGATGTCTACAGCATGCATCAACTTCAAATGAGAATTGGTGCTGGTTCAAGATGCAAATTTGTTGGTACCTTGTGCTGGTGAGCTTCTTCTGTTGTATTTCTGTCCTTCTCAGAACTTTCAACGGTGAAATTGCTGGCTTTAAGTTTGTTTACACAATGCAGCGCTCTATTTTGACAGAGTTTACTTTGCTTAGATATTTTTAAGTTAGTCTGAATGGCATCATTTATTTTGTTTTTTTGTTTTGATTGGTCTTGGGGTGATCCTCATGTGTACTTTATTTTTATGTGAAGTGGATCAAAAAGAGCAGATCTGCGACTGTAATAACAAGTTAAGCTGTGAGAAATATTATCCATTTTCAGTTTACTGAAACCATGCAAATGAGAATAGCGTGTACTAAGTGAAAGATTTTGTCCAAATTTTGGAAACAGCAGTCCTCCTTGTGAGCTTTTGCCCCTCTGCCATACCTACAGGGAAAACAACATTCTTCTTCCACCCTAATGATAATTAATATTTCTTTGACCACATTTTCTAAGAAATACATGGTTCATAGTGGGTTTTATGTAGTCTAATGTGTACCGTTTGTTCTCAAACTTTTAATTATTCAATTTCTGATGTTAGACAGCAAGCTAATCAAGTAGTCAACATTGTAAATCTTACCAGGTCATATGGGACGGAGGGAGTACTTTAAGGAAGAGGAAAATCTGTTTTCCAAAGTTTCCATTTACTATTCTTCTATCAAAGAGAACATGTCCCTTCGAAAATAAAATATATATATATATTAACAGTGACGGACCCAGGATTTTTTGGAAACGGGTTCAATCTTAGAAGTACATAACTTTAGTCGTAATTTAGTCGTAAAATAGTAGTTGTCAAGTGGGGTCAAATAAAATATTTATAAAAAATTTACACAGCTTTAATCCTAATTTATATATATACACAGCATTATTTGTTGGTGAAGCGGGTTCAGTGAACCCGCTAGCCAACACGTGGATCCGCCATTATATATATATCAGCTTTTAAATTCCCTCTCTACCCAAAAACTCATATTTTTCCTCATCCTCCCTTGGTTTCAGCCTTGGTGTGTGTGTTTTCTCTACTTGTGTGTCTCATATTAGAAGAGGCAAGATGAAACATTCTCAAGAACTGGACTTGTTGAATGAAAATCTAGTCCTAGTCAAGTGATCTATCTAAATTCGATTTTGAGGACAAGAGACTGTGCTTGCTTTCTTTTCTTTTTCCTCTCCCGTTTTTATTCTTGGTTTTGGTATTCGAGGAACACTTCCCTCTGCATTTCTATCTTCCATTTGTTTTCATGGCTCTGATTCATCATATAGTTTTAGAAAATAGTGAGGTTCTATGACTTTTGACTTTTTGAGATAAGGGAGGTTCTATACTTCTATTGTTTGGTCAAAAAAGTTTCAAGAAAATAGAAATATGAAATGCGGAAACAATGGACGTTTTTATGGATAATTTCTTGAAAATGCGAAGGAACATTGTGAGCTACTGAAGGACACTGATAACTGGAAGAAAAATGGTGACTGAAGATCTATTTACAGTGCCAATGCCTTTGACTTGATGTGACGTGAAAGACTTGTTAATGGTATTGCTATTTTTCTTCTGTTTCCATTAGTTGCTAAGGAAAGCTAAGTACTCCCTCCGTTCTCGCTTATTGATGAGTCCAAAACACACACTAAAATATGCTCGCTAGTCGAATATAGTATAATATAATATTGTGTCCATGGGGATTGGAGTTAAACAGTATTATCGTAGTCTGTAGCTAGATTGTTATTCAAGATAATCAACAGTTTAGAATTATGTGATTAAAAACTAAAATTAACTAAGAATCTAAAACTAATTGACGAATGACAATCGAAACAAAAGTAAGCAAAGAAGATATTAATGGGAGAAAATAGGGATTGATTGGATATGTGCAAGATAAATGTCTAGGATGTAACTCTAGTTAATTCACTTCTAATGTTCAAATGAGTCTCTCGAATTCAATCAATTATTAGTTCAAACGTTTAGTAGAAACCCTTCTCTCGATTAAGTCTCAACCTCACAATATGAACCAATTTAAGCTAGGTGAAGATATGCACGATTTCGTAGTGGATTGGTATTTAGGAGAACCTCTCTCGATTATCTTCCTAACTAGGTCTAATCAATAATTCAACTAGCCTCTTTCGATTACCAAGAAGAATTAATGAATTCAACAAATAAGATAATGCAAAGATATCACAAGTTATGCCTCTCTCGATTATATGAACATGTAAATATAGATGCAATATTTAAAACATCCAAAACGATTCAATACATAAAAACTAGAGTTAATATCCACAAACAAATATCAATACATCAAATCTATCAATTCCTAAAGAGAACTATTCCATAGATATGGAGTAATTCATCACAAATATGAAAAAAAACATAAAACGATCCAAACTCTTGTCTTGAGTGAGGATTGAATGATGAATTCCTTGTGCTTTCGCTTCTCCACCTCCTCTTTAGCCTCCTTAGGTTTTAGATATGTCAAAAAGTCCAGAAAATAACGTTTTTCCATGTATATATACCAAGTAGGGTCGGGCCCAGACGAAAACATCTTTTCCTGCGCGAAATAGGATAATTGCTCTGTACAAATTGCACAGGCGCCCCGCTTGGGGCGACACGCCACGTGGGGCATTAGTGGGGATTTCGAGAGAGTTGATTTCTGACAGATGGCAGGATTTTACACAGGCGCGGCGCTAGTGTAGTTTTCTTAGAGTCTGGCTTTTTGCTTCGATTTTGACATCCAGACTTGGTCTTCGACCCCCGAACGCGATCCCGGCTTAATCCCTTGGACTTTTACTCAGATTTCAAAGCTCCAAATCACTCGAATTAGCTCCATAACATTTACATAGCTCGGAATTCTCCTACAAGGCATAAAATACACAATTAGTGCAAAATACTAGCGATTAAAGCTCAAACTCACTTAAAGTGCAGTAAATTGGAGTGCAATAAGCGACTAAAATACGAGATTATAGCTTGCCATCATTTATGTGAACCTATTTCCTTTTTGGCATGTTAAAAAAAGAATGACCCCTTTCTAAATTTAGAAATAATTAGCTTAAACTTCCAATTCTACCCTTAATGAGAAGCTTTTATAATCACACAAATATGCTTGGCCCTTTATTTTACTTGTTTAGGACCACAAATTTAAAAAGTCTTTATTTTTTCTTAAATTTCGTGCCTAATCAAACAATTTCACAAACGGAGGGAGTAACTTTTATTCTCGGTAAGTCATTGACTTTCTAGCCCCAAAGTTTGATTTGACGGACGTAGCTACATTATGGCTTCTATTGTAATTCATTATGTAACGGAAGATCATTAAAAACTATCTCCTACGTTCACTTTTAATTGTCCATTTTTTACTTTGCACTCCTTTTAGTAGTTAATAATGATGTTCACTTTTGATTTTGCACTCCTTTTACTCCATCCGTTTCAATTTAGATAAGGTAATTTTACTTGACATGAAGTTTAAGAAAAAAAAAAAGAATTTTAAAAATTATGGTCTTAAAAGTTTAAGGGGTAAAGCTTTGTGGGCCCATAACATTTGTGTGGTTATAAAAATTTCTTATTAAGGGTAAATTGGGTAAAATGAAGAGTTTAAAATTGAATTATATTTTAAATTTAGAAATGCGTCATTTATTTTGGAACAAACTAAAAAGTAAAGTACCTCATCTAATTTGACACAGAAGGAATAATAGTTAATAATAATTTGGAGAATGAATAGTTAATAATAAGGATAAAACAGAAAAAAAAAATTGTCTTTTTTTTTATTTAGTATAGCGGACAAGTAAAAGTTAACGGAATATTAATTGACATCTACAATTATTATTTAGCACCCGAATTTGCCACGTGGCTCATTTTAATCCCATCCCCTTTTGTCACTGGACCCTACAATTAGTATCGCTTAGCACCTGNCCCCACCCTTTTCCCCCAACTTCTTCTCTCCACTTGAAATGGGGTTGACTGGCAGCAATTCTCTTCGTTTCTGCCTCTTTTCGTTCTTCATTTTCCCCACAATTTGTAATTTAAAATTTTTGTTGTCATTTTTGCTTTTCAAGGTTTTGCAACAGTTGGTTAGAGTAGCTAATAATTTTCATGTCATCTCTGTAAGGGGGAAAAGAGGAACGCAAAAGGAATTGCAGTAACAATTGGAAAGAAGAAGAGCACGGAAGTAAACAACTTGCACATGAACTGCAAATTGGAACAAAACTAAAACAGAATATATAGATCTGGATAGAAAGCAGAGGTTGGTGAACATTCTCATCGTCTTTGCCACCTACGTTGAAATTGCCAGCGTCCGACTGTTAATTAACGCCACCAGAACAACGATTTCGTTCAAGCTCCTTCTCAATCTCATCCACGATTGGTCCAAGCACACTGACAAAATCTTCATCCAACACATTAAACCAGCCAACGACACTAGCTTGATTTATGATTTTATCTAAGCACAACAGATATACTGTATCATACATGTGTCTATCATCCTTGAAGGAACCCAAGAGCCACGTTTCCTCCAATTCTTGGAACAGTCCACTTTGAAATGCAGCAGCGTCTGCTTCCTTTATCGTCTTAAAAAATGCACAATGCCTTGATATAGCTCCTCTAACATTGTCTTTTCCTCCTTCAAGAACTGCACGGAAGACGAGCCTAGCCATATTCTCAACTGCGATATCTCCTAGTAAAGCGAGGAATAAAGACATGTTATCTAGTTGTAGATGTGCCTGTATAGCTTTATAGCCCAACCGTTCATTATATCTATGCTCCTTAATTTCTTGCACCCTTAACACTCGCTTTACAGACTTGCAACATTCTTTAGCTGTTGCAAGTCTGCCCTCTGTGAAATTCCAGATTTTCGGCAGACTACCCATGAGTTTTACAGCTATTCCCTCTTGCGGTTTGTCTTTAAGAAGCTGCAAAGACAGAATTACTTTATATAAGAAACAGGACAATAGTTTTTGTTGATATGATCAGTAGTTCCTTTTGTGGTGCTACATCTCCAAAGATAATAGTTCATACAGGTTTGGTCCTGCTATCCACAAGAATTCTCTAATCTTAGGTCAATAAGCTTGTGTAATTTTCAATTAACTTCTTTTTTATGACGATTATTTCTAAGAAAAGCTTCTTGTGTAATCTTTTCTAAATATGCATATTATGATCTTCCTTAAATAAATAAAAGTGAGGAAGCATGCAGTGAATTGGACGAAAAAGCTAGAATGCCTACTTCTACGAAGTATTTTTCATACTCCGCAATCTTTTCAGCATTGTCCTTATATTGCTTTTCATAGACATTGATCAAATCTCGGTGTGCTTGTTCCTCCTCCTCAAGCTCCTTTATAAGGTTTGCTTGTTGGATATTTTCGCTTTTTAGCCGATCTTCTTCTTCCATCAGTTGATATTCGTGACCAGATATCTGCACATAAAGGAAAATCGAAAAGAGACTAAATTACACAAAAATTATCCTACCATGTGAAAGCTGGCGTTTAAAAACCCTAATCGGCAGACAAATCCAAACTTGGAATTACAAATGCAAGAAAGGAGGTCATTCGAGTTAACTGGAATGAAGGGTATTTCCACCCGAAACTGTTGTTGTTCAGACGCAGATAAATTAATATATAACAAATCTCAAAAACAGAGGCAGTTACAAGATAGATGCATAGCCAGCAAGCAGTAGTGTTAATTTTTACTAAATTTATTTATACTAAAAAGAGAAAACAAATCTCTGAAATTATGAAGTTTCGAACATCACACTGCAATAGAATCAAATGTAAATCAAAGTCTAAGCAATCTACAGTCAAATGTTGTCCAATCCAAAAACTCATAGCGATAATAAGCTTTCGAATCGAAGCAAAGTATGAAGGGACAGGACAAAGGCTACTACTTGACAGTATAGCTGCGCTACCATCCACCAATTGATAAAAACAAAAGTAAACTATAAAGTAAAGGAACAGAGAGGAACTTACAGAGAGAAAATGAAGGAGAGGAAAAGGAAAGGAGAGGAGAAGCGGAGTAGACAAACGAAGAAAGGAGGAGAAGACGTATGTTTTAGGGTTTTTACGACAAAATGTCCTTAATGTATAGAGTTTGGTCAATTTTGGTCCTTCATATATACACTTCACCGAAATAGTCCTTAAAGATCACTTTTTGTGTACATTAAGGACCATTCCGGCGAAATGTATATATCAAGGATCAAAATTAACCAAACCCCGTACAACTTTTGTTATTTTCTTGTTTTTCGAGGATAATGTTGGGATTGAGAAAACTTATAAAGGATATGAACTCAAAGCAAAATAACTATTAAACCAAAAAGTCATTTTCTAGGTTAGTCAACTTGTGGCTTTTGTTTTTTTAAGCACTTTTAAACTTGTTTTAAATAATTTTTTAATTTGCCAAACACTTTAAAAAGCTAAAAGTACTTAAAAGTTACTCCCTCTATTTTAATTTAGACGACACACTTTCGTTATTAGTTCGTTCAAAAAAGACAAAATGGCCTCCGATCCATCTAAACTTGCACCAAATTGTCAACCCGGTAAATGAACTTAAAAGTTTTTCATTTGAACACTTCAACTTAATCATTTTCACATTAATAAACCACTTTGACCATTGACCATGCTTATGTGACGATGACATAGCTGATGTGGTCGAGCTACGTGCAAATCACGCTGGTAAGGCGCGTAACTATGCTAGTTTTCTTTTTAAAAATAAAAAATAAAACTATAAACAATANTTTCTTCCCCTTTTTTCTGTTCCTTTTGTTCCTTTCCCCATTAACGTCGTTTCCTCCACCTCCCCTAATTCCCCTTTAATTTCTCTTCTTCTTCTTTTTCACGATTAATTTTTTTTTTCTTATGATGAAAATTTTGTGCAACTTTTTGATTTTTGAGGGATTGTAATTTTGATTGGTCTTAGTAGTTAAAGATGAAAAAGTGATGATTATCAAAGGTGATTTTTGATGAGGTTACTAGTGGATTTTTTCGGGGCGAATTGATTGTGCCTCTCTTAGTTGCAGATTTGGATGTTGGGGTTTTGAGAGTTGAATTCTATCAAAATTTCCATATATCTTATGAAACTCCCCAATTTCTTTCGCCCCCCACGATCCTAGCAGGTATAGCGAATAGGAATAGAAAGAAAAAAAAGTTAAAATATTAAGAAATTGGTATTTTTTTTTTAATTGATTTGGACGTCTTAGAATGAAGAAGGATGGAGTTCATAGTTGATTTGAGGGGATTTTAGAGTAGATGAGGATGATGTCGATGGTGGATGAAACATATGGTGATGGTGGGGCTGCCATGGTGTAGAAGAACAAAAAGTTTTTTAAATTTTTTTAATAAATTGGTGAAAAATAACCAGGACCTGTAAATTACACTTGTCAAACAATAATAGGTTAAGAATATGACGTGTCAACTGTGTCATAGCGATTGAGGAACACCCTCAACTGGAGGTGTTTATTAGTACTCATTCGTCAAGTATAAGTATTCAAATGGAAAACTTCTAAGTTCATTTACCGGGTTAGCAATTGGGTACAAGTTTAGGTGGCCCAGAGGCTATTTTGCCTTCCAAAAAAGAATGACATAATTTTACAATTGGAAATAATTCAACTTTAAACTGTTCATTTTATCCTTAATGAAAATCTTTTATAACCACATAAATGCCATGGCCCCACAAAGCTTTTATGACCATAAATTTCAAAAGTCTTCTTTTTTCTTTAAATTCTGTGTCGAGTCAAACTAACTCATCTAAATTGAAACGGAGGGAGTAGTTAGCTAATCCAAAATGGAGTAAAAAGCCTATACCAATTTAAGACTCAAATGACTCAGATGTCAGACTAGTCTTAGAGTCTGTTTGGCCAAGTTGCCGGGAGGTCAAATTTTTTTTTTGGGCCAAAAAAGTACTTATTTGGAAATATGAAGTATTTGACCAAAACAGAGAAGTACTTTTGAGCATCAACAGAAGCAGTTTTTCTACTTTCGGAAAGAAGCTACAAATTCTAGTTTATTCCAAAAAGCAGAAGCAAAGCAGAAAATTAATTTTTCAAGACAAAAATATCCTTACCAAAATATTATATTTTATAAATTATTTCTTATTAATTTAACCTTTACTTTTTTATCTTTACCATCATTTCCTTCTCTCTCTTTTTTTTCCATATCTTTATTCTTCTTTCTATTTGGAATAATATCTACTATAAATATATCTCTTCTTCCTCTTCCATCGTTTCTTCTTTTCTTCGTCTCTTATTACTCTTTGGAATCACAAGGCTAATCACCAGATTCAAACACTTTCTTCATAAGGTATGGATTTTTTTTCTTTTGTAGTATACCAATATTATACGATCTCCACTTTGTAGTTTTATGCATTTTGTTTTTGCCTGCATGCATATAATATAGTTGTAACGATCCGGCCGGTCGTCTTGTATATTATAGGCCGTTCTCCTATTTATTAACTTTTCTATGTTCATTTGTGGTTATATGACTTTTCTATGTTCATTTGTCGGGTTGGTTGGATTGGTTTCGAAAAAGTTTCGGAGTGAATTGGAACAATTAGTCCCAAAGTTAGAAGTTTAAGTTGAAAGAGTTGGTCGGAGTTAGACTTTTGTGTCGACGATTCCGGAATGGAGTTTTGATACATTTGACACATTTGGATACATTTGGACTGTAATAATTGGATGATTATGTTTCTTTTTATTTTATCTATCTTTTGTTAGTTATTGCTTTCATTAGCTTCTTCAATTGTTTACTTTGATTTTTGTTTTGTTAGTAGCTTCTTTTTATGTTAGTAGTTTTCATATTCTTCGTAGTAGTATGGATAATAAGTCTTTGGTTTTCTTAATGTCACGGCTCTTTCCAAAAGTAATCTTTTGTGTGAACCAGATGGCTCTTTCCGAGGATGGATGGTGTGATAACTTTCTTAAGGGAATGAGTCCGTTTTTGTATTTAGGTAATAATAATAGTAGTAGTAATGAATAAAAGACCTAATCAAGTCATTCTCTAAAAAGAGTTATTCATGCTTCATTTGGCACCAACACACTTAACTGCATGCTTATGGTTTGGAACAAGGTTTTTGAAAGGAAATAGCTCTAGTTAATGACTTTGAGACTCTTGAATTGACTTTGATAATCATTGAGTGGTCAATTGGACCATAGTGGTCTCTAACTTGATTGTGATTGTTGTAGGCTTTAGATTCTATCCTCTTTTACGGTCTAGTTACATGATGGGTGAGGTAATTTTTGTTGCTAGTCCAAGTATTTGTGCGAATGGTCTAGAACTTGCCCCAAATATGCTTCAAGGCGAAATCCTAAGTTTGCTTAGTTTGGAAGATGATTGTAGGCTTTACTTAATCCGTTTGAGCTTTCTTTTACCAATCAATATTTGTTATCCCTAGTCAACCCCCTTTGAGTCTTTAGCCTTTCTTAATNGGGGGGGAGAGTTGAGGAATTTGAAAGAGGTATCAAGGCACCAAAAAGAGAAAAGAAGCGATCTCTATGAAAAGAGAAGGCAGGAAAAGAAAAAAACAAAAAGAAAATGCCAAAAAGAGAATAAAACGAAGGTTGATGAAATAAAAAAGAGACAACTATCTCTAGTATGAGCATCAAGGGCGAAAAAAAATGAAATGAACAAGAAAGAGATGTCAAGTCTCTCTAATCCCAAAGAAAAAGGAAATGCCTCTAAGAGTTGGTAAATGTGAGCTAAGGAATGAAAATGTGGAGTGCTTAAGGAAGGGTGTAACCACTTATCCCATATGGTATCCCACCTCAATCCAAAAGCCTTCATTACAACCCGAAAGAAGTCCTACTTGATTTTGAACCGAGTAAGCTTACATTAGTGGTGATCTACATAAGGGGCAAGCCTATAGTACTTGAAGCCTTACTTGTGATATTCTTTTGTGAGAGAAGAGTGAACATCTCATTGATCTAAAAAAATAAAAATTGAGTGATAACTCTTGAAGTGAGCTTGGCAAATGGAAGGTAGATGAGGAAGAGTTTGGAGTCTACCATGATCTACATAATAGAGCAAGAGTCCTTGATGAGTGAAGTCGATTCTTGAAGCTCAAGTGTCACATTAGAGCTATATGTGCATAATATGTGATTAGTCACCTTGTTGAAAATGCATGAGCATTGTGGGTAATTGTTGGTCCCAACTGAGTATGAATGACTTATAATTGAATCTTTGAAATGACCTTTCACTTTGAGGAGGTTGGAACTAATCTATTTTCTTGAGGACAAGCAAAGACTAAGTTTGGGGGAGTTGATAAATGTGGATTTTAACCACTCATCAGTACCTTCTTGCTTTAGTTTTAATCTAAAAGTGTTGATTTTTGTTCCCAAAACTAATGAAACTGTGCAAATTGCAGAAATGTTGGAGAATTGGACCTCAACGAAGAAATCTAACTCAAAAAAGGAGTTTTCCGGCTCATAAAGCAAGGAGTGCAACAGGCCAAAAGTGCGGTGCGCAGAAGGAATTCCTTGGAGGTGTACCTGGTGATGGAGTTGATTGACCCTTTCTATATCAAAGAGAGGAAGACATTTTAATGAGAAGTTACGAAAATATGTAATTGTTGTGCAGCAGAAGAAGAGTAGAAAGGATTATATCTTTAATATCTTTTGTTAGTTATTTGTAGCACTTCTTTTTTGGTGAACTAGTTACGTGAAACACTCTTAAGGCACATTATTTGTGTCTTTCTTTTGCTACAAACTTGTGTTCATATTATGTTTTGGTTAGTGCTAGAAATACATAAATTCTGTTATGTCTGTTGGATTTATAGAAGAGAATGCGTTCTATGTATCCATAAGTCTTATGGTTATTTTGAAGCTCGGCTGAGTTCAAAAGAACATATGAAAACTCAAACCATCAAAATTTAAGAAGCCAAGAAAATTGTCGTTGGTAGCAGATGGTAGTATCCTTAATTACTGTAACAAGAAAAAGAGTCCCTTTCGCCTCATTGTTTAAGTTAGATCCATTTTCTTGTTGGGTGGGTTAGATGAGTACTTGGTTGTGTGTTAAATGGGTTTTATATTAAAAATAGATTTTTAATATGATATTATATTAAATATGTATTTTATTTTCCGAGTCAAAAGGGAATTGTTGAGTGATATTTTTGTCCTAAATAAAACAAAAGTGACTTTGATAGGATATCCTCATAACTTGGGTGACCATCCAAGGAATTGTTTCGACAAAAACACAGTCATTACTGATCTAGCAGAAAGAAGGGAAACAAGAACACAAATATTTTGCTCTCACAATGTGATGCTACATCGCCTCAACGGCTTCTACCACCTGTGGCTGGCGCTTAGGTCGACCACATCGTCTTACATCTTTACTTAACAAAAGCTTCAAAGCTTTTTCCAGGGTAATGTCTTTGGGATTCAAGTTCTGTGACCAAAATCAGTACTGGCAACATTAGTATCCATTTAGAACCTCCAAACAAAATAAAAAAGGATAGAAAGTAAGCAAATTATTGAAATCTATCAGCTATCCTCCCACATCCCAGCACCAAGAACTTCTCATGGAAAAAAGAAAGAAGCAGTAAATTATAACGTTAACCTACTTCAAAGTCAATCAAGTAGTCATTGATCTAGTTGAACTTTGTACAGGTTTTATTCACTTCTAAATTATTCCCAAAAGAAAAAGGGACACTTTATGAAACATGTATTGTATGATAATTAGCAATAACTAACATTTAAAACAACTTTCATTGATAATCATTGATATGGAGTTAGCAGTAGTTGCAGAAATATTTGTAATCAGTAATCAGCAAAAGCGGCAGTTTCTTTAACAGAATAGATATATAAAACTGAACCTTAAAATGAATTTCCTTTCAATACAACTATGTTGAGTGATAAGAGATGCGAGGACAAAGTTCCAAATTAACACTTGGAACAAAAACCTAATGAAAGATACTAGCAGAAAGGTTTGCGAAAAATGTTGTTTTTTCAGTTAGGCAGGTTCTGCTCTAATAAAAACTACTTTACCAACTATTGTTTCTCAAATACAAGTAGTGGATATTGTGAGGCCATACAACAACACCAGAGCAGTCTTAAGACTGATATACAGGAATACCAAGTCATACTAATAAATGCTTGTGCTCCCAGTCTTTAAATTGCGGTCATTCCTAATAGGCAATTATGAACAGGCAATTAATTCCCTAAAAAGATTAAGCACAAAGTTATCAGATATTCTGATGACTGAAAAGAAAGAAACTTTGATACCGGAATTCTAGACAGAAGGGAGACACTTCTACAAAATCTACTACTCACTAGATTAAGCACAAAGTTATAGAAGTCTAATGATTATGAATTGGGAGAAAATGCTTAAAGTATTCCCCCGTGATAGATGCTTTTTCCTGCTTTAGTCTCAAGCATCATCAATTTATACCAGTAAAGCGACATTTTGAAAACTGGAGAGCTAGACAACACAAACTTCACTTTTTCATCCATCAAGATTGCAGGAGACCTATGATGCTGTAATTGTGCCATCACTTTTTATCATAGCATTATTGATTCCACTAAAATTTTCTCTGATAAATACCTTATAATTACAGTTAACAGGGGTAAAGCACCAATCTTTGTTTATTCAGCAGCAAGCTAGCATATCAAAACAAGGTGAGTGAACCAAACCTTGGGTACTGGAGCAATTGTTCGCCTATGTCTGATTGTAAATCCAAACTTTGCAAGCTTTAAAATGACAGGCTGGTCATCATCTGGATGGTTTCCCTATAAACAAGACCCATTCATCATTTGTATGCATACTGATAACAAGTGGTAGAGAAATCTAAAACTGAAGACAGAAATAATTTTTTAAAAAAGGGAGTACACATTCAAACATACCAATGTTACAGGGTAACACAGCAACTCCAGGGCATCTTCCAAGGTAACAGAAGTGATATCCTTCACCTAGATCATGAAAAATGCATTTACATCACTGCCGATCTAGAAAAATAAACTTGTCTCTTTTATCTAAACAAGGAAGGAAATAAGAGCAGTGATCAATAAAAAATTATACTCCAGGTGCAATTATATCAAATAAAGGTAATTCAGTTCACCTCTACTCATCAGTAGGGGAAAAAAAGGCTCCACTCAACGACTTTGGAACAATTGCTTTTTTTATTATTGTAGTATAAACATGGAAAAATAGTATTTATACATGTGAAAGAACCAAGTTCCATAAAGTGCATGTCAAAATACCTGTGAAAGAGAAGCCCGCTTGGGAACGTATCCTTTCTTGTCTTCTCCAAGCTGAACATAGTATCCATATGGTCCATTCTTCAGAAGAACCTAAGGAGAAAGGGCATAAAGGTCTTTACATCTCTGAGAACAAACAATTAACTGAAAGTAAAAATCAACTAGTATAACCAGTATTTTGGTCAAAAAATCAACTAGTATAACCAATCCACTGATATATATATAGGCTTGAAGTGGTAACCTTCTCATTTGAAGATGGATGGACACCCAGCAACTTTGGCGGCTCTACATTTCTTTTAGTGTCTTCAGAGGTGATGTCTTCATCCTCTTCACCTTATAATGTCTTGGCAATATATCTAAGGATGAGTGTCAAAGCGACATCAGCAAATAACTTGAAAACGATATTGAAAGAGAAGGAGAAAAGTATACAACTATATTTCTCTTCATTGTTCTGCACTATCAAGATAATAAACAAATTCATCATACTGCTAAGAGATTCATAAGTTCACGTGCTTATAACTTACAAGGTGTGATAACTGAAATAAAGATTTAATGCTGGAAATGAACGAACTTTAAGCTTAAGCTAAGGAATACATGCCCGGTACGGTTGAAGTAGCAACTCAAAGTGCAAAGGATATAGAAGTTAGAACCAGAAAAAAGGGAAGAGGGGACTCTTATTTTCCAATTGCTTTGCATGTGATAACAATAAACCTTTACCTTATCGGAAAAAAGGGATAACAGTACAATCTTTAAGGAAGTTCACTGAGACTTAAGGTTTAGAAGGAACCTTCATAATTGGGAGGTAGAGTAATTTCAAAGTCTGGTTGAATTAGTCTATAAAGAAAGTTCTTCACATGACAGCCAAGCTTACTGGGAGTCAACGAGTAGTGGGCTTGTTTTCAGTAATGTCCTATTGTAATAAGCTCGGGATACAAGGGGTATCAACCTTTCCACGTCTATCAATTTGGATTCCAAGGTGTTAGGATCAAATGCTTACCATCATGCCAACAACTATAGCTCATAGCAAGGTCGCAACTTTATTTCTTAACCAAGCCCACCAAGCAAGCGCCATGTTCGACCATGACTCCGACCCGGGCTACCCTAGCCCTCTTGTGGGCCTTGCCATAGGCAGGATGTTGGCATTACCCAACAATCCCCCTCCCAATACCTGCCTCATGAAGCATGTTGCTCTTGGGAATCGAACCCATGACCTTGGCTCTGATACCACTTATTATGATCAAACGCTTACCATTATGCCAAAAGCTATAGCTGATAGTAAGGGCGCAATTTTATTTCTTAATCAAGATCACCAAGCAAGCGCCATATTCGACCATGACTCTGACCCGGGCTACCCTAGCCATCTCGTGGGCCTTGCCATAGGCAGAATGTTGGCGTTACCCAACACAAGGGCACCAAGAAGATTGTGTTTGTTCGCTTCGTTGGTAGCAAGGAATACAAAGGGCATGGGATGTTGCTCCATTAGCACTCATGTAGATAGTATGGAAAGAGAGGAATAGCAAAGCTTTTGAAGGGACAAAGAATGACCGTACATTTGCGGAATAATTTCTTGTCCCTTATTTCTTTTTTGTGCACCTATGAGATTCTAATTTCTAAAGATCAGGTGTCTATCAAGAGAATCAAATCTCTTTGGTTCCGAAGAGATCATTCCAGAGGACTAAGTACTCATTATTTCAGAGGTGTTGCACTCCCTTGAAATGAGTGTATGTACATCACACCTCCTATGTTTGTTGCCAAAGCTCCGAGTGAACCCGAAATAGGCCATGGACTTGGATCTACCAAATGATAAGAATGCCACTGAGATTCAATCATAAACCACTTTGCCTCGGTTCTATGTAAACCCCCCTCCACCCTACCCCTAAAGTAGTAAAGTAAAGAAGGGCTCTTTGGACTATGATACTCTGATTTTCTTTCTATCTGACAGTACAAACAATGAAATAGGAAGGGATGTTTTTTCATTATAGCAGTTTGACTCTGATATAGATTCTTGCTGACTCACTGTGCAATTTTGCATCTAATCCTAATCTAACAGCAGAAGATTCCAAATACTTGCTTTAACAAGCGAGAAATATCTAAACTTTTTGAGACCTGCAACCCATGTAAAGCATGTAAATGGTAAATCAAAACTATCATTTATGTAAATGCAAGAATAAATTCCACACCAACATCAGTGGTATAAGGAGAAGATGAAATGACGGTATTTAAAAGATCCAAAATCTATGGTAGCTCATTACTCACTTGCATTTTGGGTGTTGGCCACAACCTATAAAATAGCTTGCACCAAACCTCCTCACTTTGAAGATTAAAGTTCCCTGAAGACAGCTTGGGCATGTCCTACTTTCATCAGGAAGAGATGCAAACAGAAAATCACCAAACGTTTTCTCCAACATCTTCTCCACCTGATGAATGTGCACATTACCAGTATGTTCACAATACCTACTAAATCTAGTCCAGTAATCTCTCTTGTGAGAAGACACAGGAGAAAATATGTTATTGATATTGGATAATAAATACAATACAAGAGATCCCTATTTATAGCTATACACTACAAGGAGATATTACTCCTCTTCTAATGTGGGACAAGACTACACTATATATATCTATAAACTAATACTCCCTCTCAAGCAGGTGCATACACATTATATGTACCGAGCTTGTTACACATGTAGCTAATACGAGAACTAGTAAGAGACTTAGTGAAAATATATGCTAGTTGATCATTCGACTTTACAAACTTGGTAACAATATCTCCTGAAAGTATTTTTTTCTCTGAAAAAGTGACAGTCGATCTCAATGTGTTTAGTCCTCTCATGGAATACCAGATTTGACGCAATATGAAAACCAGTTTGGTTATCACACACTAGTTTCATCTTACTAATTTCTCCGAACTTTAACTCTTTGAGCAACTGCTTGACCCAAACTAACTCATACGTCGCTATAGCCATAGCTCGATATTAGGCTTCGACGCTAGATCGAGCAACTACATTCTGTTTCTTGCTCTTCCACCAGACCAAGTTACCTCCTACTAGAATACAATATCCAAGCGTAGAACGTCTATCAAATGGTGATCCTGCCCAATCAGCATCTATGTACCCAACAATCTGCTCGTGGCCTCGATCCTCGAATAGTAATCCTTTGCCTGGAGCTGACTTTATATACCGAAGAATGCGAACAACTGCATCCCAGTGACTATCACAGGGAGAATCCATAAACTGACTTACAACACTCACCGAAAAAGAAATGTCAGGTCTAGTCACTGTGAGGTAATTGAATTTGCCAACCAACCTCCTATATCCCGTAGGGTCTCTAAGAGGCTCCCCCTGTCCAAGTAGAAGCTTAGCATTCAGATCCATAGGAGAGTCAATAGGTCTGCAACTCATCATTCCAGTCCCCTGAAGAATGTCTAAGGCATACTTTCGCTGTGAAATAACAATACCTGAGCTAGACTGAGCGACCTCAATATCTAGCAAATACTTCAATCTGCCCAGATCCTTAGTCTGGAAGTGCTGAAAGAGATGTTGCTTCAGATTAGTAATACCATCCTGATCATTGCCAGTAATAACAATATCATCAACATAAACCACTAGATAAATACACAGATTAGGAGCAGAATGCCGATAAAACACAGAGTGATCAGCCTCACTACGAGTCATGCCGAACTCCTGAATAATTGTGCTGAACTTACCAAACCAAGCTCGAGGGGACTGTTTCAAACCATATAGTGACCTGCGCAATCTGCACACACAACCATTAAACTCCCCCTGAGCAACAAAACCAGGTGGTTGCTCCATATAAACTTCTTCCTCAAGATCACCGTGGAGAAAAATATTCTTAATGTCTAACTGATAAAGAGGCCAATGACGTACAATAACCATGGATAAAAAAAGATGAACAGATGCTACTTTAG